AACATACATCAAGAACAGAGATAAACAATCCAGCTGCTACAGAAACATTTGGGAGTTTTGATATTGCATCACCACTGAAACTACTGTGACTGATCCCTGTATTCATTAGTGAGAAAACCATGACCTGACAATCTGATATAATAAAAAGGGCCATAGGAAATTATTAAAAACATTATGATAAGAATTACTTTAATGTATACAATAACATTTTAATTATGGAAAAAAAACAAATAACAATATGCAATATAGTTAGAAAAAATTGGCATAGGGCAAAGTACTTTAATTTGAAAGCTGCTCTAAAATTAGATTTCAACCAACTTCATAAATAAAGCATAGTATGACTCTTTCCGGGTCTATGAGGAATTTCTGAGCAATAAAACACAATTTTGATTAGTTCAAGGAGTGTTTATGGAAACATCTTCCTGGACTGTACTCTAGGTATTTACATTTTCTGTACCATTTCTTATCAAAGTATATTTGCTTTCCATAGTTTTCATCTGGAAATAAAAGCATATTCACTACATCCATTAATGAGAAGCATCCATTATTTGTGAGTGCACATTTAGTAAAATTCTGTATCTATGCAAATGGTATTAAGGGTCAAGAAATCCTAGCTGCTTTTTTCTTTATTTTTGGAATATACTGGCTAACAGTTAGGGACATTCCCACTTCTGTTTCATCAGATTTTGTCTGCGACAAGGAACCAGAATGACACTAAAAGTTGATCAGGGCAGTATTTTTATTGCTACTCGGCTATTTACAAAAATCTTGCCAGACAAGCTGCACTCATTACGGAACAACTAGATAAACATTCCAAGGTTTGGAGAGGGTGTGTATTTTCTGTTGCTTCCTCCCCTTCCGTGATTCCAGACTACCCAGCCGCTTAACTCTTCCCTCCAACTTCAACTGCAGATTCCGCGACAGATTTGCAGCAATAGCAAAGACAACTGAGATAGCGATAGTGTCAAATAATTGTTATTTTCTAATAAGGAAAATGAACCCCAAATTCCGGTAACACCTCTACAACATATCAGTAATCCTCCACATACAACTATTCATTTTACAACTGTTTGAAATTATGACGGTGTTGAAAAAGGTGACTTGTAAGTGGTCCTTGCACTTAGAAGCACCAGAGTTCTTGCAGTCACATGTTTGTGATTTATGCATTTGGCAGCCAGGTTGCAAAGTCCCGGGCTCACATGATTGCCATTCACCTCTTTCCCTGAGGGTTTCTGACAAACAAAGTCAATGTGGGAATGCCAGATTAATGAGCACAGCAAAAAGAATAATGGTCATAAAACTGATTCGATGATCAGAAGGCTTAACAATGGAAGTTCCAGTCATAATTGTGGCCAAAATTCAAAGACTACGTGTAATATAAAATTAATAACGATAAAAACATGCTTATTGGAATGGAATCTAAGATCAGGAAAATAAAGACTTAGGAGGAAAAGAGGTCAGTTTTAGTAGGTCTTGTGTTGCCACTCATCAAAATATTATCATGAGTAGTTATTATATTTTATTCTACTCTTCCCATAAGGATCTCAGGCCAGTATAGATAATTCTTATAATAATTCTGTAAAAGCTTGCATGCACATTTTTAGTAAATAAAGTTTTTTTGTTTTTTTAATAGTCTGGTGACCAAAGGCCAAAATGCCTTGGTGGGGTAGGAGTTAAAAAAAGTCAAAACGACAATTGTGCATGCACAAGCAAAGTCTTTTTGTGCATGGTGAGACTTTTTTTTTTTACTTCTTCCTGTGGATACCCCCACAAAGATAGAGAAGATATATCATAATATCACATCAGAGTGGGTAGCCTTCTCTCCCACTTTGTCATTTTCAGTTTAATTTTATTTCTGGGTTTTAGAAAATCCAACTGTGAACCTGATTTGCATAACTACTACTGTATCTGTCTCAGTTCTCTATTATTATGGTACTTTCCCAGATGGGTAAGAGCTATTGTATATTTTCAATAATGTAATTAATTCCTTCTGCTTATTTTATCTATTTTTAATATATTACAATTTAAAATTTCTATTTAATTTCTCTGTTTAAGTAATTTAATTTTGAGGGTGAAGGTTCATTCTCAAGAGCTTGTGGGTTAGTTTCTGAAAGTTTTATTACCAGACTAGGTAACATATTAGTTTAGGGCACGTCAATCTCAGTGTTCTTCTGTTTATGAGGGCTTTGTGTGAACAGGAGATTTTGTGATGGATCAGGCGTAGGTGTGTCAAGTGAGGGCCTTGTAATGGGTCTTGTGATGGGCCAAGTATGAGTGGGAATTTTATCTATTTATATTGTAGTTTTAAATTGAAAATCTAAGAATAGTAAAATACAATCATGCAGAGTTCTGCTATCTTAAAAATAAATTTCAATCAAATATAACAGACTATTTATAGAGTCTGTGCATTGATGCTTCACACATAAAAATACCTGAAACAAAACGTATCCTTAACCTTTATTCATATGCAATTAATAGCCTGGATATTTTTTTTATGAAGCCAGTTCTGTTTTATGACATTACTATACGCATAATCAGTTCAACATGAATAACTGTTGGCAAATTTTCAAAGACAGGGTTATTTTTCCCAGCTAAAAGTATTATGCGGCAGTAGTGAGACAGATTGCATTCAGACAGGCATGAATTCAAATGTGCCTATATAAGAAATGTCTAATTTTGCAAGCTTATTTTTAGACTATTGGCTGACTGGCAAACTACCAAACTTAGGGAAGGGCTAGCATTAGAAGCTGCTATAAAAATGCTATTTTCATGATTAAAAATGCAATAATAGTGCCTATATATAGTATTTTGTTCAGATTGCTATCTCATATTTGGGAATATGGTAAATTTCTTATAGAATTTAGTATCTCTTTTTTTCTCCATCCCAAGCATCATTTTTGCAAAATTCTGCATAATCATTTTCATTTCTTCAGCAAGCCAATTTTATTTATTTTACACATGCACACTTTCTTATGGCATTTATTGATAGCCAAGTTCATAAGTATGAATGCTCATTCTATTTTGCTTCCTTAAAATTTCAGGATTCCACCAATAATCCAAAATTTCAGATTATTTGTGAATGTTACTCAGGAATGTCTATATTTCTAATTGATTTACATAATATGCTGAACAGCTCAGGTAATTTTATTTACCACCTGTGCAAGTTGAAATAATAAATGCCATAAAAAGTGTGTACACGTGTGATTCTATACACCTTTCTTTGTATCACTTTAAATCTAAAGTAAATGAGAAGGGCTGGGTTTTGGAATAATCACATTTCCTCAGGCCTCAGAAGGAAACAATGGTAAACCTAAGCTGCTCAGGTTTGTCTACAGATAACAGCCTGCATTGTATGTATTGTATGCATTGCAACCAATTAAATATAAGCCAACAGTACGCAGCAGCAGCCATAAAAGCCAATGAAATCCAAAATTGCATTAACAGAGGGATACAATCAAGTTCAAGGGAGGTTCTTGTACCACTCTATAAAGCCTTAGTAAGACCACACCTAGAGTACTGCATCCAGTTTTGGTCACCACACTATAAAAAAAATGTTGAGACTCTAGAAAGAGTGCAGAGAAGAGCAACTAAGATGATTAGGGGACTGGAGGCTAAAACATACGATGAACAGTTTGAGGAACTGGGCATGGCTAATCTAGTGAAAAGAAGGACCAGGGGAGACATGATAGCAGTGTTCCAATATTTGAGGGTCTGTCACAGAGAGGAGAGAGTCAATCTATTTTCTAAAGCACCTGAAAGCCAGACAATGAATAATGGATGGAGACTCATCAAGGAGAGATTCAACCTCGAAATAAGGAGAAATTTTCTGACAGTGAGACCAATCAACCAATGGACAGTTTGCTTCCAGAAATTGTGGGAGCTTCATCACTGGAAGCTTTCAAGAAGAGACTGCACTGCCATCTGTCAAAAATGGTGTAGGGTCTGCTTGGGCAGGGGGTTGGACTAGATGACCTACAAGGAATGAGATGAAAGCCCCTCAAATTTCAGCATAATCCATAGAAGGTCCATTAGGGGGAAAAAAACATACAAAGCAAGCCTTTTTGACAAAGAAAGAAGACAAAAGTCCTGAGTCCCTCTGCCAATTATGTCTGCATCTATTGCCCCCAATAGTCAATAGATTTATTGGTGCAGAAAACTGGTGCCTCCAAAGTTGAATTCCAACCATTATCCCCTCTACATTCAGCATCCCAGCAACTGGCCCAAAGTTGTTTACTGACTGAAATATCTGGACCAGGCAAAAGATGTTTGTGGCCAGGAAATTTATAGCTGCCTTCTATTTCTTTTCCAGCAGAGACAGGAGAGATTGGCCAGGCCTTATTATAATCAAGTTAGTCTAATTTAAATATATCTACACAGCTGCAGAATTGTCAATAGCCAGTTAGCCTTTTTTTTACTGTAAAGCCTAAATTCTCGTGCAGATGTGTTGGTGTGCAAACATTTAGGAAAAGAACGTGAAACAGGTCTGCCTGGCCTCTGATGCCTTTCACAATTTGAGAGTCATGCATGCGGCACAGGATATATTTTCCCACAGTAGACACAAATGATATCGTGTATGCAAATTTTCTAACTCATTCTATTCTTGCACAGTTATTATATGTAGCATCAAATTAAATTATAAGCATAAGGGACTTTCTGCAGCATTAACTAATTATGCAACCTAGACTAATAATAGTATGCTTAAAAATGTACACACTAGTGAAAGGGCCTTCTGTGTAGCTTCTAACCTAATAGGGAGGGCTCCAATTTTTTAAAAATGATTATTGCTGCTGCATAGATAAATGAAAAATATATAAGAATAAGAAAGGGGATAATGGGATTTGTTTTACCATACATGCTTAGCAAGCCATTTTGATGGACTATTTGTTGGAGAAGAGATATAAATAAAACCACAACCTCTGTCTATCAAAGTATGAGTATGGATTTTGCTGTACAAAGTTTATTTCAGTTATATTTATATGCACACTTTTTCCTCTTTGTAGTATTTGGGATGTATAGAGGTCTTGCGGTCCATGAAATCTCTGGATTTTAATACTAGAACACAGATAACAAGGTAAGATGATATATTCTACATACATTCCCATCACTGTTGTACCTTTTGAATCAGATACAATTAATTTATTTGAAGGAGAAAAATACCAGGAATAGTGCAGGGTGCATGATGATAATTATATGTAAGTTTCTTGTTGTACTCGGGTCTTCTCCCTTATAAGATTGAGATTGTGTTGGCAACGTTTTGGCGAGGTCTCACTCGCCATCCTCAGGCTGGTGTTTTTGGCTTAAAGCATGGCTGGAGCTGCCGTCTTTCTATAAATCTTGGTGGGAGTGTGTGGAGTGCTGGTGTTGTTTCAGTAAGTGGATTGATTGGCTGTGTGGCTGGTAAACAAACGAGCCCCATCCACCACCCAGGCTGTTACAACACAAAACAACAGTGGACACACAGCCAGCACCAATCAGCACCAATCTACGAATCATGATACAGCCACACAGCCAATCAATCCACTTACTGAAACAACGCCAGCACTCCACACTTCCCCACCAAGATTTATAGAAAAACTGCAGCTCCGGCCATGCTTTAAGCCAAAAACACCAGCCTGAGGATGACGAGTGAGACCTATATATATATGCTTATGTAATATATATGCTATTTATAAATAGCATATAAATGATTGACATATTCTTGGACAGTGTCTTTAGAGACCATTCTACTCTGGTGAGTAGGAAGTCCAGTTCTTTCTGATCAAGCACTTGCTCCCTTTATACTCACCTCCAATTCAGAGACTTAGCAGCAGAGCAGCAGTGGTTGTGGGGTTTGTAGGAAGAAGATGAAGGATGGAGTAAGCCATTTCTCAGCAAAAACCCATGCCCATTATATCTACCTCTTGTTTGGGATTCTTTTGAACATGGGTTTTGCACCAAGTATACTAAACTCATATTTAAGAGTTGCACAATGAAGCAACAGAGAAAGATAAAAAGGGAGTGGGAGGGAGGGAGGGAGATGGTTTGTGGTGATCCCTTTATTGGCCCATCCACTGTCCTTCTGACAGATGACTAAATCTGCAGATGTAACAACAAGTAGTTCTTGACTTGCAACTGTTTGTTTAGTGATCATTCAAAGATACAATGGCACTGAAAAAAGTGATTTATGACAGTTTTTCACAGTTTCAACCTTTGCAGCATCCCCATGATCATGTGATCAAAATTCAGATCCACAGCATCTGGTTCATATTTATGACCATTGCAGCGTCCCGGGGTCATGTGATCCCCTTTTGCAATCTTCTGACAAGCAAAGTCAATGGGGAAATTAGATTTCACATAACAACCGTGTTACTAACTTATGAACTGCAGAGATTCACTTAACAACTGTGGCAAGAAAGGTTGTAAAATGGGGCAAAATTAACTTAATGAATGTCTCACTTAACTACAGAAATTTTGGGCTCAATTGTGGTGATAAGTCGAGGACTATTTGTTCCTGTAATGCAGTGATTGGTAGGTGATTTTCCAGCCACTTGGAAATATCGAGAGGAGTGCAGACAGCAACCTTTTCTTAGTGGAAAATTAGGATATCAAGTCAACCCTATGAGTTAGCAAACTGAGATTGACCGTGGGGAGAACATATACCCTGTGGCAGCTTTACCTTTCTGCTTTCTCACAGAGGAAATATAAATAGGAGGAGAGCTGTTTTAGTCTATGTGACAAAAAACCAGTGGCCTGATGACACCCTTTTTCTGACTATCAAATTTATTAACAGCAATAAGCTTTTGTGAAATGCAACTCAGTGCTTTATTTGAGCTATGGGGAAATGTCCTAAGTAAGAAAAGGCTGCTTTATGTACGAAATTCCAAATAAATAACAACAGTATGTCAAGTTAAGATTTCTAAGCATGTTTTATTTGTCTCTGTTTTGTGATGTGTAATGATTCTTAAGGCAGGAAATATTGTAACTACTATATTGCTTGAGTCTAATCTTTAAAACTTGCTGCTGTCAATTTTGGATCCATGTTTTCAATTTAAAATACATTCATATCATTTTTCAGAACACTTTTTCAATACAGCTTCTGTATAGTTTCAAAGCTGTGATTGATTCTATAAATCCACAAGAGTATATATATTTCAAAGTGAGGATATGCTGTTATAAATCTGGAGGATATAATCATTTATGTGCCAAACCTTGACTCTACCACCTGGGAAAACAATAGGTTTCCTAAATAGTAAGGTGAAACTATGGCAATATTGAATAACCGACTGGGTCCATTGTGAATATATGCATTGAAAAGTACATAAAGCTGCCCAAGTAAATCAGTTTTAAAAATTATTTATTCTGATAGCTTATTAATAAAGTCTGATTTAATATTTTGAGCCCACTTTTTGAGGGCAGTCAGTTAGGTTTGATACTGTATTAGTATCATCATTATATGTATATTAATAGCTAGATATATGCCATAATATATAAGGAATGGATAAAGAAGGAGAAAAAAGGGGGAGATATTTTACTTATGCATTGTTTTACCTTTTTTGCCCCAATAGCCCTATTATTAATTGGTTGGAAATCCTTTTCTGGCCTAATAGTCGGTTCTGATCACGAAAGCAAGGTATATCATAAACACCCATCCATGAAAGAATTGGAGACTTGTTTTTGCCAACAGATGCTCTTCTGGGAATGCTTGTCAGCTGTGGAAGTCAGGAAATAGAGGTTCAATCCTTCTGGTTTTCCAATGAAGACAGCACCAAGTTGGAGAAGGCTTGTCCATTGCTTCAAAAGGGTTGACAAGTGCAAGCCAGCATTTAACCCTATTTTTGCCATACTTTTTTAAAAGCACTTGATAATTTTGGTAATTTGGTGTTCCCAGATAAGGATTTTATTGGGCAGTAATCCTGTTGCATTCAGGGAATGTGAATAAGATGCCATTTTCTTCTATTTATAAACCCACTCAGTCTTTCCCACTTTTCCTTTTGCTATTTTTTAAATAATAATTTACTTCTGCAAGGCTAATCTGAATTTTTATCATCTGATTTGTTGCAATAGGAAGAAAGGACAAGAGGCACTAATCGTTCCTTCTGATTATCTGTTTTTTTTTCTATGCTGAGTATAAAGAAGTTACCCTGTTTCTGCTTTGGCCAGCAAAGAAACTAACAAAACTCTCAGCATGCAGCATCTTCCTTCCTTCCTTCCTTCCTTCCTTCCTTCCTTCCTTCCTTCCTTCCTTCCTTCCTTCCTTCCTTCCT